ATAACCCCTCGATTCCCCCTTCCTGATTAAACATATCTCTCTCAGCCTCGAATATAACCCCTCAATCCCCCTTTCCTGATTAAACATCTCAGCCTCGAGCAACCCAGCACCAACAGCCCTCTGCGGTAACGAATTCCACAGACTCACTGTGAAATTCCTCCCCGTCTCTGTCTTCAATGGGTGACCCCCTCCAACTCTGAGATGATGCCCCTCTGGTCCTAGACTCCCCCACACAAGGCGGGGAAACGATCCCTCCACATGTCCCCTGTCAGGTTCCCCCCCACCCCACTTTTCTGTTTCAGTAAGGTCGCCCCTCATTCTCCTAAACTCCAACAGGTACGGACCCGACCTACTCAACCTCTCCCTCATAAGGCAGTCCCCTGCATCCCCGGGATCAACCGAGTGAGCCTTCTGTGGACTGCCTCTCACACTGGCCTATCTTCCCTTAGATAAGGGCCCCAAAACCATTCACCCTATTCTAGCTATGGCCTGACTAGTGCCTTGTATGGTTTTAGCAAAACCTTCCGTACTTTTCTACTCCATTCTGTTTGAAATAAAGACCAGCGTTCCATTTGCCTTCCCTACTACCCACTGATCCCGGATCTTGTGATTTACAGACGAGGATTCCCAGATCTTTCTGTTCTACAGCTTTCCGCAGTCTTTCTCTACTTAAATAATACTCAGCTCCTCTATTCTTCCTGCCCGAGTGCGTAACCTCTCATTTCCCCACACTGTATCCCATTTGCCAAGACTGTGACCACCCGCTTAAGCTGTCGCTATCCCCCTGCAGATTCTCGCTATTTATCCTCTCACCTATTTTTGGGTCACCCACAAACTTGGTGACAGTACTTTCCTCCTCTGAGTCCTATCAACTGTAAATGATATTGGGCCCCAGCACTGATTCCTGTGGGGCGCCACTAATAACGTCCTGAAAATAGCCTCCTTATCCCACCTCACTGCCCATTCGTTAGCCAATTAATGCTAATGCACTATACCCACACCATACGCTCCTATCTTACTTAACTGCGTCATGTGTAGGACCTCCCAGACACACAGGTCCTGAAGGGGCCTGGATAGTGTAGACACAGACACTGTACCTGTCCTGGGAGACAGCAAGAGCTGCAGATGCAGGAGTCAGAGTTGATACAGTGTGGAGCTGGAGAAACACAGCAGGTCAGGCAGCATCACAGGAGCAGGAGAGTCAACATTTCAGGTTGACACCCTTCATCAGGACTGGGAGTGTTTGATGGGGACATTGTAGAGAGAGCTTTACTCCGTATCTAACCCCGTGCTGTCCCTGGGAGTGTTTGATGGGGGGGGGACAGTGTAGAGAGAGCTTTATTCTGTATCTAACCCAGTGCTGTCCCCATCATAGTCATACAGCACGGAAACAGACCCTTCGACTCATCCAGTCCGTGCCGACCATAATCCCAAACTAAACTACTCCCACTTGCCTGCTGCTGGCCCATATCCCTCCAAGCCTTTCCTATTCATGTACTTCTCCAAATGTCTTTTAAACATTGTAACTATACCCACGTCCAACACTTCCTCTAGCAGCTCATTCCACACGTGAACCACACTCTGTGTAAAACATTTGCTCCTCATTTCTTTTTAAATGTCTCCCCCTCACCTTAAAAATGTGCCCGCTAGTCTTGAAATCCCCCATCCTATGGAAGAGACAACTACCATTAATTCTGTCTATACCCCTCATTGTTTTGTAAACTTGTATTAGGTCACCTGTTTACTTTCTACGCTCCAGTGAGAAAAGTCCCAGCCTATCCAACCTCTCCTTTATAGCTGAAACCCTCCATACCCAGCAACATCCTGGTAAATCTCTTCTGAACTCTCTCCAGCTTAATAACATCCTTCCTATAACAGGGTGACCAAAATGTCCTGGGTGTGTTTGATAGGGGACAGTATAGAGGGAGCTTTGCTCTGTAGCTAACCCCGTGCTATCCCTGTCCTGGGAGTGTTTGATGGGGGACAGTGTAGGGGAAGCTTTATTTTCTGTTCTTTTCAGTTCTCAAAGGGTAGAGGCAGCCCACTATCAACATCCTGGGGGTGACTCTCTCCAACGAGAGAGAATCTAACCATCCCCACCACCCCCCCCCCACTTGACGTTCAATGGCGTTACCATCACTGAATCCCCCCCCAGTCCCCACTATCAACATCCTGGCGGTTCCCATTGAGCAGAAATTGAACTGGGACCCAGCCCCATATCAATACAGCGGCTACAAGAGCAGGTCAGAGGCTGGGAATCCTGCAGCGAGTAACTCCCCTCCCAAGGTCCCCCCACTGACGGTGTGAATCAGGCTGAATGGCCTCCCTGTGCTGCCAGGTTAATATTGACCTTGCTGAGTCTGTATGTGTGTGTGTGTGAGAGAGAGAAGCTGGCATTGGGCATTAGCCCTGTTGTATAATCCAGCCTTTTACTGTGGGAGGAGATGACAGGCCTGGCCTGGTTATGGGCAGAGATCCTTTTCAGCTCCTCTTTCCCTCTCTGTCTCCCCCCTCTTGCTACCGTCAGTGCCCCCGGTTATCATCAAGGAGTGGTCGGCCTACAAGGGAAAGTCTCCTCAGACCCCCGAGTTGGTGACCGGCCTCACCTTCCGCGAGTGGACCTGCCCCAACCTGAAGAAGCTGTGGCTGGGCAAGGCGGTAGAGGACAAGAACCGCCGAATGAGAGCCTTCCTCGCCTGCATGAAGTCGGATACACCGGGAATGCTGAACCCCGCCAACGTGCCCACCCACCTGCTGCTCCTGTGCTGCGTCCTCCGGTAAGCCCTGCCAGTGCCCACCCCTACCCCGCGTCTGCCAGCCTCGGTGAACGGGGAGGCCTGACAATCCGGGATTTGTGGGGTTGGGGGAGATGGTGGTGGTGAAGGGGTGGGGGGGGTTGATTTATTTTATTCTCGCCCTCTTCCTCCCCTAGGCCCGTGCAGGCCTTGTCAGGCTGTGGGACAGCGACTAGGCCCCATGTCCATCCCTGGCCTGTAGGTTGGTAGGCAGGCAGCCCCGGTGAGGGGGGAGGGATGGGGTGTGGGCACGCAGGAGGGGCGAGTGCATCTATGCCAACGTGTTTGAGAACATGTGGGCATTGACCATTCTTGGTGCCAATTGATCATCGTTTCTCCCCCCCCCCCCCCCCCCCCCCCCCGCCCACCCCCCCCCCAACCCCCCCACCCACCACCCCCCCCACCCCCCCACC